TTCAGTGACCACATCGGGTTGGAATTTGAGGCAAAAATCCACGCCCACATGATCTTGAGGAGCTTGAGAATAGATGGCATGCGAGTAGGGCTTTGTCCCAAAAAAATTTCAAATTATATCGCGGAAACGGTTATAACTAACTAACTAGCTCAAGAACATGATTAATAGAGCGGGCGTAAATGTAGAGCTTTGTCCCTTTCAGAACCCCCAAAACTGTTTTCCGATTGGACGATTTCGATTCGATTTCAAAACTTTTCGATTGGACGCCCCTGAAACTCTCCCATTTTTTCTCAGTTAGGTTTGATCATAAAATGCTAACCTCTAGAAAGTAGGGAGCAAAACTGTGAAAATGTAAAGAGTCCCGAGTTTTAAGAGTCCGTATCTCAAAAGCGGTTCAAAATTCCTGCTTACCCATCAGGACCTTTTCGTTAGAGCGTCTCAGAAACTGTCGATCTCAATTGGGTACGATCAAAAAATTCCAACCCGTAAAGCGTAGTAAGCAAAAAATGTGAAAGTTTTAAGATTTCCAAAGCTTAAAACCCGTTTCGCAAAAACGGGTTGAAATTTTGTTTCAGCCGTAATCACCTTTTCGCTAGAGAGTCTCAGAAACAGTCTTTCGCAATTGGGTTCGATCAGAACAGTCTAAGTTTTAAAACGTTGCAATCAAAAATGCAAAAATCTAAAGATTTCCAAAATCTCAGAAACGCTCCAGAATTCTGAAAAACTATAAAGAACTGTTCGATAGAGCGACTCAGAAACTGTATTTTGTCAATTAAGGGCGGTCAAAAAATCAAAAGATCAAACCTTTAAACCGCTGAAAGCAAAAAATTGAAAAACTGAAGATTGCGAAAGTTCAACAGTCAAAACTTTGGATTAGGTTTAACCAAAGAAACTGTTGTTTTCTCAATTGGGTTCGATCAGAAACTTCTAATCACTTTAAAGTGAGAGGCAAAAATTTGATATTTGAAGACAACGTTGAAGTTTACATGAACTTTCTTTCTAAATAACTTTCTTATTAAGTTTGATCAGCAATTCTTAACCTGTGCAAAGCTAGAGGCAAAAAGGTGCCGTTGTTGTTTAAAAAAGCGTATCTCAGAAAGGGATGAAAATATCCCGATAGTCGTAAGGAAAGTTTTGATAGAGCAGCTCAAAAACTTCTAACCTGTAGAATGTTAGAGGCAAACACCTCAAACCTTAAAGAACCGTCGACGTTTAAATGGCATTATCTCAAAAATTCTTGAAATTGCCGGTTTAATGGTAATGACCTTTTCGAAAGAGCTTCTCAAAAGTCGCATTTTCACTAAAGAGGTTTTATGCAAAATTCCCAACCAGTAAAAACTTAGAAGCAAAAAAGGCGACATTTGAAAACATCAATGCAGTTAGAAAGCGCCATAACTCGGAAATGGCTGGAAATATCCCAATAGTCATAATAACGTTTTT